AAAGACTAATTCAATGTATAAATTAGGATTACTGGATTATATTTAATATTAGGTATATTAAAAGAAAAAATTTTCAGAGTTGATAAAGTGGATTGAATTTAGTAAATAAGATCAATGTGATTGATAAGTTTTTAATGCTGTCAAAGTGTAAAATACCTCATTTCAACGGTCTATGTTTTCAAGAATAAGATAAGAATAAGAAGAAAGATTATGTTGCGAACAATGGTAGCGTTATCTGAAAGCAACTCTATTAATTAAAGAAAACAGTGATTTTGAACGTATTATTTAAATTTAACAAAGATTTACAACTTCTGGGAGCGATAGGAATTTTGTGGATTGGTGGCTATCAAATGTCATACGAAATTAAAAAGCTATACTGCTACACAGAAAAAGTATTACAATTTACATAAAATCCTATATAACACAAAAATATACTAAATCTTAACCCCTGGTAGAAAAACATGTTCACACTCCGTAGGCACACCAGATTTATATCCAAAACTAACCTTTCCCCTGTTTTAGACTTTCAAAAAATTTGAAAATATTCTAGAATATTTATCACAATCTTTACTACATTATAGTATCGTTTGTTAAGTCAAACCTTCATACCTTTTTTCAACAAAAATAAAAATTCGGTTGGGTGTCTACGAAAAATAGGAATTTGCTTAGGTCGTCAACAACCTACGTTGGTCAAAACCGACAAGATTTAACATCAACCGTATCACATTTTCAAGCTATTTATACAGGGTATTAGAAAAAAAAGTCTAAGATTTTAGGCGCTCATAGTACTTAACATGTGGAGTAAATGTCTAATCGATATAGTTCCTGAAAATAATCCTTTCGAAGAAAAATACAAAAGTATGTTTTCACATTTGTTACATACCTACATACATTTCATACGTCTTCCTTTCCTCTCAAATATTTTCAAATATTCCTCCCGTATTCTATATTGCTTATTGTCATCAGAATTGGGTACAATTTTATTCGAAGAATACATAGTGAAAAGCTGCAATACCTAAGGTCGTCATCCTGAGCTTTAAACAGTTAGTGACATTAAATAATTATATGCCAAGTCGTCAACTCGATCAGGAAAAAAGTATTATTTTATTACAAAAATTGGAATCTCCACATTTAAATGATTAAAAATGACGAAGTATTTTTTCATCTTTTATTTGTTATTCGAAACTCTTTATCTAGATAATGAATTTGCCCATACCTATTTGTCATGCAACCTTGAATTAATGTATTTCTAAACCAATTTCTCAGTTTACATGCAATATGTTGCTAAAAGACTCGCTTACAATATCGAATGCTCCTAAATATAAGAATTAATTTCACACCAAAATGATTGATTTTAGGACCCTATGTCAATTAGACATTTACTACTCCACCAGGTGAGTACCATAAGCCCTTGAAGTCTTATACCATTTTTTTGAACACCATCAAAGTATCCACACAATCAAAAGCCAACATTTCATTCCCACCAACCCTCTAATAACAATATTCGAAGTTCCTCCGTCGCGAATTATCAACGTCCCGAGACTCCAAGAACAGCCAAGACACGTACACCTCGACGCTAAAGTGGTACGCAGGTATCGAGGTTACAGCGCCGCCGCCGCGTTCTTTTTCGAGGCGATATCCAGGAAAGCCCGTCGAGGAATTCCATCGTCCATAGATCCCATCAGCATGGATAAACAGTCTCTTTCTACCCAGGACCTTTCGCGGGTGGGTATATACTAGTCGAGGGAATAAGCGGTTCTCTTTTGTGCCTTCTGCTCCCGCCCCCCTCGTCGGTGTATCTCTTCTCCTAGGTTATCTCTCTTTCTTCTTCTCCTCCCCACTCCCTTGTCCGTCTCCCTATGTCGGTTGTATATACTCGACGCTTGTACCCAGGCCAAGGTGGTGGTAGTGGTGGATGGAGGGGAATGCTTACGGGTTCGCATTGTGTCTCTACGTGGGTACAACCGAGCGTAAGCGTGCAAATCCGCGGGGCCAAGCGCCGTTGGTATGGGTATAATCGTTTATTTCGCGTCGACCTTTGCGGGGCACTACGTCAAAATGTCAGACGCGACCCCGCCTGAGCGTAGGGAAGATGCACTGGGAACGTTGTAATGGGCTTACAAAGCGTAACAAACTGATGCGAGGTCAAACACACGACGGGCAATAAACACACGGAAAGATAAATGGGCCCTTAAGGTGCACAACCACCACCATCACCAGCAGCATCACCATCGTCATCGTCGTACTCAGGGAAAAGTGTTTCGCTTTTGGACTCTCTCTCGGGGCCTCCCTTCTTTTGCAGACGCGAGGGAAGATAATGGGCGAGTCGTTAGCGATTATTTACAAGGAAATTCCAGCCGATATTTATTATCTGACCGGGCTGATCGCGCGCCCGTAGCGCTATTTTCGCGCTACGAGATATCGCTGGGCCCGATCGTGTTCGAACACCCTTTTGACCCCTCGCTCGATATACGGGGGTGAAGTTTTAATTACCGTTCCTGGTCGAGCTCGACCTGCGCTAGCGATCGTTCCATGGATGTTTCTTTGATTTAGCGGCGGTCTGTCGGGATGGGAACAATGGAGGAAAAGAAAAAGTGTAGGGTATGGGAGGTATCATAATGTTTGATAGAGGTACGTGGCTCTTGTTATGTATTTCTGGATCGATTTCATGGATTCTGTACGAGGTGATTTGGCGGGTCGACTCGTGTGTCTGATTAAATCGTAATTTTTCTACTTGAACGTGGCTTGTCAGTATGAAACAGATGTAGATTGATTGGGGTTGTACAATCCTTTAATATTAATACTCTGTTGAACTTAAATGAAGAAAGACTTTTACAATGAAGGCACTATTCAGTAAATGGTGTTCAAAACGTATATGTAGTATGTAAATTTATTTATTATATTACAGGTGTGGATTGATTGAGATTGTAAGATCTTTTGTTATTTCGTTGAACATAAATAGGAGAAGTGTTTTAGCCAAAACACTGTTTATTAGATTATGTTTGAACTCCAAAATGTATGTGTAGTATAGTGGACCCTAACTACATATATTGCCATGGTCGGGGCAGTAGGGGAGTAAAATGGCAATGAGTTCAGAGCCAAAATATACTTAGAGTCCATTGTACTTCAATTTATTGTGTTACTCGCGTATGAAGATGGTTATTTGAAATTGTAGTCTTCTAGTACCTGGTCAATGTAATATAAGGTTATACAGTTTAATTATGTTAAGTATACAGCAGTAATTATGGTTAAGGATACCGTAATGATTGGTGAACTTAGATTTTGTACCAACAAGGAACATTAGGCAGGACTCGACAGCCAAACACCCTCTAAATGTACATGTCTGATTATGTCTAACTATTTCTACTTACACGAATGAATTTTGTAAGAATTCCTGAAACATCTAAGATCTCTAGGTAAATAATTATTCGAACCTGAAAAAAGAATGGATCCAAAGACCTATATCAAAATGTTATAGTCGCTTAAAATCAACAGAAGTAACGTTCTCAGAATTATTTCACAAAAGATACCCCTACTGAACATCTTGAAATACCTCGAAGAGTTGCCCCAGCAGTCACTAAAGAACTAAATGCCAATATCTCAATTTATTTAGGATCAGTTTACCTGTAACGGTGAATGTCAGTCAGCCTGTATAGCTGGGCTTCGACAATTTCGAAAAAATGTGAAAGGTCTCCTGACGATGATTAAATATTCATATAGAAGCGATCGTGACGTTTACGTTCGAATTGGACGTTTGACGAAACGATATCGCTGCCACGGTCGTTTCATGGGCACCGTCAGATGGGGTCCGAGATCGCCCTGAGCCATAAGTGACTTACGGAGCGTAACAAACTGACGCGAGTTTAAGCGCAGGACGGGCAATAAACACGCGGGGAAAGATAAATGAGCCCTCGGGTCCAACGGGGCACACTTGGGGAAAGTGTATCATTTCTACTAGATCTTTTCGCTTGTAAGGTCTCGAGTAAATTGCGGATTGTCGGGAACGCGAAGTAAAAACGATGATGGAATTTCAGGTCATACACTCGAGGTCATCGTTTAGTCTTTGCACAAAGTTCACTCACGGGTAAATATAAAATTTGTATTATCGTATCGTGGCGTATTAAATGAAATGCACTACATATAGAAATTCGAGAATCGTTTGGTTAAATTACTGCGTAAGAAACTGTAAGTGTAACACTTTGAAAACAGTAATATTAAATTAAACGTCCAACAAATAGATTTCTTACATTATATACCTGCACATTTTACATTTAGTGTAATGTAATACATATTTTTTACCACGTGTTTACATCGCCTTTTAACCATTTTATTAAAGTATTTGAAAACAGCATAAATGTTTAATACCATGACTTAATATAAACATAGGAAGGTATTACAATATCATAGACTGCTAATCTCTGTATGTAAAATTGTTTCTGAAAACACAATCTAGTCCTTCACTTTCTTTGACCCTTAAATGTAATAGTTATCCACTTTTCATTGATAGGTCACGTGGTTTTATAATTCCTAGTACCTCTATACCGCGAATACTCTCCCTATCTTGTGTTAGGCACATTATAGTCTTTAACATCTCTATATTGTCAATACTCTACCCTTCTGGTCAGTAGATTGCCTGAACCCTTTTGACAGAAGACCTCAGAATCCAAATACTTCTCTCTTCTTACTGCTAGACATCCTGAACACCTGATTCCAGAGATCTGTATACCAACCGTACTTTCATCTTCTCATAAATTAACCACTTGGTTTTACAGTCTTTAACACCCCTACATTGTCAATACTCCACCCTTCGGGACAGTTGACTGCCTGGATCCTTTTGACAGAGTACCCCAAAATCCCAATCCTTCTTTCCTCTTACTACTAAAAACTTTGGTCAAGTATTATTCTTGACTACAAAGGAATCTATTCAGAGTTAAAAAAATATTTAAAAAATCGTAAGGTTTGTCATTCTATTTAACTTACTATAACATTTTCTGTTTCAGATGCCGCAGACAGTGCCCTCCGCAGCCGGCTATTCGCCTTCATTCGATTACAGCACATTCCAGTTTGACTTGTCCCTTCTGTCGGACGATTATGGCGCCACGAATGTACAGACCACATTGAAACCAACGCAGATCAAGCAGGAAGCACAATCGCCGCGTCCCGGCTCGCCCATTACCACTTACTCGAGTCCACCGTATCCCGGTGCCGGTGGTGAACTGCCCCTGTCACCTAACTACTCGCAAGAGGGCTCACCGGGATACCCGACGAGTCCATACTACGTGCCGAGAAGTCCTCAGAGCGCGCAATTTTATCCAACGAGCCCAGAACCGTCCGCGAAACAACCGGTTAAGAGGGAGAAGAGCCTCGACCTTTTGGCAATCTTGCAAGAATCCCGGTAAATTTTGTTCTTTCCAATGACGTCGATATATTAACGTTCGTTACGTCCCAGACATTAGCCTTTATTGCATTTTGAATTTAAATTTGGGTTAGAATTTGTATTTACACGTGATATATGATGAAATTATAAAGTAGATAAAAATATTGTGTTGAATGAAAAGTTCCTTCAATTTTCTTTCAAGAATTCAATTAAAAAAAAGAAGTAACACATGTTATGTTATGATACTTACCGAATTCGTCTTGAAATCCTTTAACTGATAGGCGTAAAAAAATTATAGGTGTATTTGCAAAAAATTGAAGGTGACCTTGAAAAGTATGAAGAAAAAGGGTTGACAAAAAATTTGCTATAATCACGTTAATGCTCTCTTGAAACCATGCTATACCTGATAAGAACATTTTCGATCGGACTGCTGATAACAGAGTAATCTCTACTGATCACGATTCGTGGTTCACCCTGTATACTTAGCGCTTGCACGATTGTCTACAGACAGGCTCGAGGCGGAAAGTCGAGTAGCAATAACTATACTGCGGATGTGTATGGATTTAAAGTAAATTTCAATATACAAAATGCAGTAAAATAAAAACTTCAATAAAATCTAATGGCATCTGTATATACATATTTCAATTAACATAATAAGACACCTGGCACAGGAAATAAATTTTTATCTTATTCTCATATTCATAAATTAATGTCAAAAATTGTAAACTTGCATAAACATCCGCCGTCTAGTAATAACAAAAGCATCCACATGACCGTGGAATGTCTTCTAGACCCTTCGATCTTTAGAACTTGGTCTTGTTATAAGACCAGAAAAGAACGAGCAATTTAAATGTTCATACCTATTGTAACTCATTCGCCCATAAACGCACATGTCCTTTAGTTCAGTCTTTAGGACTGAAAACGTGTTAAGCTACCCAATGACGTGTCCACCCCGGTGGCTCCTGATTTCAGGCTCCTGGCCGAGAGTCTGGGCTACCGTGAGGACTCGACCGACTGCACGGTGCCGTGCACACCGCCCCGAACAGAAGAGGACATTTATAACAGCCTTGACGCGGACTTCTTCGCGAAGAAGGAAGATGCCGCAGTACAAGGCCATCCGTTGCTGAAGGAGATCCTCTTCAAAGAAGAGCCTCGATCCAGTTGCAGCAGCAGTAGCAGCAGCGTCACCAGCAATTCCTCCTCCTCATCGACGACATCCTCTTCACCTGACCCGATCGAGCTCGAGAACAGCTCCCCGCTGAGGAACTTGCTGTTCAAGGGAACCAGAAAAGATTTCACGGATGCAACGAGAACAAATGTCCTGAAACTCGAGAGAATACAAGACGAGGTCAGGAATAATCCGTTGCAGAAGGAGGAGGAGCTTTTCAAGGACGGGCAAAAGAGCGATCATCAGTTGCTCAGGGAGGTTCTGAGGGACACCAGCTTCCAAAGGAAGTACAACCTGAGACCTGTGGACCTCGGGAACGTGGGCACTGGGTTCGTGGAGGACATGGAAACCGGCGAGTGCGTCGGGGACCTCACCAGGGAGCAAATCGAGCCTGTCCTCAGTCTGGCCATCCAACAGCTGCAGAAAGACTTCGACAACACGTGTGTGGCACTGGGCATTCATCCAGGTGGGTGACTCTATATTATATTTTGTATCTTTTCTTTTTTCTTTAAACAACCTAGTTTTTAAAAAGGAGAGGGAAAATACTAGCATAATTGTAGCATGCACACTACCATTCCATGTATAACAGAGATGGGCAAACTCACTATTTAGATAAAAAGTTTCGAATATCGAATAAAAGATAAAAAAGATATTTCGTCATTTTTAATTGTTTAAACGTGGAAATTTCAATTTTTATAATAAAATGATACTTCTTTATGAACGAATCGACATTTCTCGAACAATTCTTTAATCTCATTGACTGTTTAAAGCTCAGGACGACACCCTTAGATACTGCTGCTTCTCACTGTGTATTATTCGAATAAAATTCTGCCCAACTCTGATGTATAAGTATCAGGACACAGTACATTTCGATATTAGAATGTTACTATTTTTCAGTAAATGAGACTTTCATTTTTGCTGCTAGTTGCCCAATTGAGTAGCTTTCTTTGGCTAATTCTAGAATAGTGCCAGACATTTCATTATGCGCTCCCATTATAACAATCAACTTGTCGTCGGTCAGCACAGACTTAACGAAGTGTAATTATGTACACGTAAAACAGGGTCCGCAGAGTTATATCAAAATTGCACAGCCACGTACAGTGTCCCATAGAGACAACAAGAAATAGAACTCGAAGCCGTTACGGAAGTTAACGGCCACTCAGCAAATTGTGGCGTAATAAATATATAAATTCTGGAGATACAACGCTGGCTGGTAATAAGAAGGTGCGTGAGTGTCCATTAGACACTTAGGCCTTCTTGCTACCTTGCCGCGGGGCAAGACTCGGGACGTTATCTTCGTGAACGTAGGAGCGCGACCGGTTCGACTATTAGTTCGTTGGGCATGATGTCATGCTCGGAATAAGTTACGAAGTCACATCGTGCCTTCGTGAGTATAGTTACGAAATTTCGAGGCTCCGAGCTCAAGGTCACGCTCAGTCTTACGCTTCCGCTACTTTCCTAATATTTTTTTTTCTTTTCTTTCGTGGTCCCCGATACGTGACAACGGGCACAACTACGGAGATACGTGGTGCTCGACATGGCCGGACGATAAAAAATTGCAGTGAACGGTCAGAAAACAAGGAAACGTTTCGGATCCACCGTAGAAAGTCCCCGACTGTGAAATCGAAAGTAAGAGTCGGAATTAAGCGCAGTGAAATCTGACCGTTGCTTTTCTTCGTATTACTTTTGTTTTTGAGTAACGTAATCGTGGGTAACTTCGATTGTTTATCGGGATCTTTGGGGGTTTGAAAGTGCGCAGACGATTGCGAAATTCCTACATTTGTTGGAATTTGAAAGACGTTTAATTAAGAAGGTTTTGAAAATTACTTTGAAATTTGTCGAACTTCCTTTGAGTCATATTATTGAGTTTAACCTTAAAGAGGATTCCAGCACTTTGCATACATGTACAGTGTGTCTCATGAACTCTGTCCACTTAAATATCTTGGTTATTTCAAACAATACGAGAACATGTTACCTACAGAAGTTGTAGGGTTTAAGAAATTACATGTACTAGAGAAGATATAGAGGTCACCTTTGTTTTTTAAATGGAATGTCCAATTTTTTATGCTCGACTTCGATAGATTGGCGTATTCTGAATATAAAAATACTAAAATGCATTTGTCGTAAAACTTACTGTTGCTGAGATATTTGACTGTTTTCATTCTATTACTTTCATTATGGGACGTATTCGAGGATATATTCAAATCCAAACAAACAGCGAAAATATCTCAGCAACGGTAAGTTATAGAACAAATGTCTCAAAATACGTAGGCCGTTCAAGGGTCGAAAGACCTACGTGACTTGGGCCGAAAATTCCAAAACATTGCAAACTCTGGTCCTCGAGTACCATAAATCACTTTTCAATCCAAATCCGTGCCCCCCACTCCTACTTTAAGGGCAGTGACCAAGGAACGTTTTCCGATTTTCTCTACCCCAAATTAGAAGTAAACCGGCATTTGAACATTAAGCATCGCGTCTACTTACAGTGATGTAACAGTGTTTCTAATTTTCAAAAATTTCGTGACACCTCATTATTACACTTACCTCATATTCGATAGTGTCCCATATACTTACGAACGGGAGTGTGTGTGTGACAAAAATTGTGGCAGTACTGCGTACAGTGGCGCGAACGAAAGTTTTTGGTCAGATAGATTTTTCATTTTATTTTCTAAAAGCTATATGTGAAAAAAGTTTAACTAATATTGGGTGCAATTGCATAAGTATTTATTCGTGGTATTGTTTTCTTTTACTTGCCATGTCTATGTATCCAATATTAGTTAATAGTGTTTTTGAAAAATCTATATTAATCAATATTGGTCTTCAAAAATTTATCTATATTAGTCAGTATGGTTTTTGAAAAATCTGTCTATAGTAGTCAATATTGTTTTTGAAAAATCTGTCTATATTAGTTAATATTGTGTTTGCAAAATCTGTCTGTAATAGTTAATATTGTTTTTGAAAAATCTATCTACATTAGTTAATACTGTTTTCGAGAAACCTATGTGTCCGGAAACTTTTGCACACGACTGTATGTTGTAAAGTACTGTAGATTCGTGAAATTCTCTAAATAGCTTTTTAACTATTCTACAAATAGTATCTAAGAGCACGATAAAGAATAGTGGGAAATACAATATCCGTGCCAAAATCGTTCTGTCGTTGCAGAACCACGACGCTGGAGCGCGGCGGACGTAGCGGCCTGGATACAATGGGCGAGAAGGCAATTGCAGTTGCCCTCTGTGCCATTGGAGAGCTTCAATGTGGACGGTGCAACGTTGACGTCGCTCACGGAGGAGGAATTCTGTCAGCGTGCCCCTCAGGTGAGTCGAACCCTGATCCCACAGAATATTCGAACGACTATAGCTTTTCATTGATTTCTGGATACTAGCTCGTTTAACCTTTTGCCTTATGATTTTTTTGACGACTTCCTACGCTGGTGTTACGTTATTATTAATAATTTTGCAAGCATAAAATCAATTCCATATTCATTGTAAGGGTACACTTACCGTAAAAATTAAACGTCAAAATCGTCAAAATAATATTTTATCTCAACTTTTAAAGAAAATGGGTTAAATTAATTTTTATTACATCCAGTTTAAAATTGTCACGAGTTAACTCGTCATTGTGAGCAAAGGGTTAACACGTTCACCCGCGGAGCCGATTTCGACTAACTTTCCGTTCACGCCGACAGTATTACGTGAGATAGAAATTTGTGCGAATACAATAAATTATCGATGAGTGTTCGAAGGCTCCTTGTTAGTGAACATTAAATATTTTTTAACAACAAATATCATTGGCTTCAGAATTCCAAGCTCTATCACTCCATTAAACGTCATTAAAAAGTCAACATTACACCTGAACTCTCCTCGTCAATACAGAGGAGCCTTTGAACACTCATCGATGATTTACTATATGTGGGTTAACTCTCGGAAGGCGGGACGTTGTTAACGTTCGTACAGTAGCGATGCTTGGGTCCGTTTGGACCCCTAAAATTTCCTAATTTTTAAACATTATGATTACATTCAATATAATTTTTTTTATGTCACTTAACATGCACAACTCCTAGCTTAAATACGATTCATAGCTGACTCAATTAGTTTTAGACTTCTTCAAGAACTTCTTTAGTTTCCAAACCTCTTATAAGCATAGAATATGCAACATATTATTACCTACAAATGATTAATTTTAACTGGATTGTATACTAAAGGGTTATATACCCATATATTAATGAATAAATAAATAAATAGATTGATAAGTTAGATGGAACTTTTAAAAACTCGGATCCAGGCACCGCCGTGTAAGGGTTAAAATCGACTAGCAGACGCGAACTGCGAGTTCAACGAATACCGTATCATGAGACGATTATTCGTGGACGGGAGAGACGCTTTAACGAAGCAATTAGTCGACAGAATTTCGTGGTGTCTAAATAAATCGCCGGTGCAAACGGTTCGTGGCTGGACGATCGCCGACTGACGAACAGTGTTTACATCAACTGACGGAACCACGGAGTTCCTTTAGGTAATTCATTCGGCTCGGCTTTGATCTCTAATTTGAAGCAAATTTTCATACCAACTGAAGGGTACACTCATACGAATTTATACATATGTCGGTTGATAACGATTTTGAAAATTGAAACCATTTTCATTGCTCTATCCTCATCTAGTAAGATAAAGATGAAAGAAAATGTTTTATTAATGTTTGTTAAAAACTTTATTTTCACTGTGTTTTACATATTTGCATAAATTACGCAAATCACAATAAAAATATGCATTAAACGTATAAGAACTACAGTCTAGAAATTATCATAGAATTAAAATAAAAAACAAATCTTCAAATATCATATTAATCTGACCTTCACCCTCATCCGCCCCTTGTGTCTATTAGACACATTTTTCTTCAAAGAAGTGATTTAATTCTGTTATTTGCAGATAAATTTAGCTGAGGCTGTTTGACTTTTATTTTAAAGAATTTTTAAATTTATTCATTCATCTTTTCATTATATTAACTTTTTTACCACTGTGTTAATTTGACACCGATGGACAAATTAGGTTTGAAAAATGAGGGACAGATAAGGGTTAAGTTTCGAAAGATAATGAAAAAATTATACTTGTAATATTGTATATAATTTTGTTCTTTTTTATATATAATACTAATTACTACTAGTAATCATAATAATAATACTAGTAGATACTAAATAACAATCTATTAATTTACTAAACTGTGGAAGTTTATACATTTATAGCATGTATAATTATGTGGAACTCAGTGTAGTAAGAAGTTACTGACCTAGAAGTAACTACCTAACCTACTAACTAGGAGGGACGACTTAACTTGTCGTTTACACTTGGCTGCATCTCACAAACATTTTTCGTTTTTCCACTAGTTTTCCTTAAGGTTCATGTATTCCATTTTGTCAAACCACATATACATATTCGTACATAACACACCTTATTCACCTTTGTTATAGGATAAGATCATATACATAGAAATTTTTTTTTATTTCTATGTCTATAGATAAGATACACAAAACTATTTGCATTCGTCTTAAATTGCGTTTATATGGGGATTGAGGTTTGAGAAGCTATCCAGTTAACAGGTTAACGTCTTAAGGGATACTGGCACGTACAGTACCGGACAAAAGTATTCGTACACCCTTTAAAACGGAACAACTTTTTTAAAATTGGTCCAAATGACTTGAGTTCTTTTGTAAAGTTAGGGACATTAGTTTATTAAATGATGTGGAAAAAAAATTGAAAAAGTTGTAATTTGTCGGAATTGTGAAGAAAATAGTAAAGGTCGTTTTTTACAACTTTTTAATCTGAGGCTATAATGAAAATTTAATAAATACACTTCAAAGATTTATGTTCATTACTGTATGTGTACGAATAGTTTTCCTTTCATTCAAGCATCACTTCAAAATTTTAAATAAATTTAAAATAAAAAATTTGAAATAACTAGGAAATTTTTTCTGGTCTTGATAAATTCGTCCCTGATAGGGTTAATAATACGCAATGAAGTTTTTATATCATTTGGAACATAATAAATCCTCAATACAGCAATCTAAATTCATGTAGGATTTCTGTTTCTATAAATATGTTGACAAATGTAAAAAATTACAACCGATTTGAAAAAATTCTGGAACAGATTCGCCAACAAGACGCAGGATATTTATATTTGTTTATGGTTAACGAAGTAAATAATTACTGAAGTAAAGTCATAAATAAACCGTGATTATTGTGTACTGTATGTTAGCTTGTTATCTGCAATGTCGTCGTCGCCGACGTTTTTTTTAAGGAGGTTATCTTATATCGTCCCAAGAATTTATAACAGATTTAGTTTTCGGCGTTATCGCTGGTAAAAATTCTCGTTCACTGGCAATGCAATCGCGGTTACTTCCATGTTGCGAAATCTTTTGCATCTACACGTACTAATAAACAACAGCACATTTCTTAAAATATACAGCAATTCATGGGACGCCTTTTTAATATTTTTAGTTTTACAAAAAGAATGTGCTTAACGTTGCAAATAAGTTATTTATAAAATATGAAAAATATATTCAACACTTAATACCACATAAAATTAAGTCCTCACAAAATATTTGATTCATAAAGTACTTGAAATTGAGAAGAGTTTGTGTAATGTTAATTATCACATTTGAGCACTGAGTATTTTGATCCATTTATAATAAATACAGTTCATGAAACGCAATACAATAAACATATTAACACATTTTAATGCACGGTCATTAATTCGAGTAATAGATAAATAAATAAGTTCCTATAAGTAAGAAATAAGTTCCCATTTAATTTCTGGTTTCATAGTTTACTCCATAAAAAATATGAATTTTATTTATACATACATGTAAGGAATATTATTACTTACTTACAGAACTATTAATTCTCTTCTACTAATTGAAACATCTGAAAATCAAAATAATATATCAGAACACGGACGTTTACCTTTGACAAGAATTTCAATGATCAGACAATTTCACAAACTTCCAGCATTCCACCTCATTCGCGTAACACTAACACGCCCATTTAAACACTGGCCGCAACCTAGCTAGAGAATCTCTCTCTTGCGCTACATCACTCGATACAGAACCCAAAAAAGAAAACGTGCCAATTCAGCCAGAACCAGATCACTCTCCCACAAATTACCCCATTTGGCGGACTTTCCCAGAGGAAACCGGTCAAGGAACGAAGCCTGGAAAACGCATTCCAAGATCCCTATCGAATCGCGCGTGTCAAGACAGAGGGAAAATGGGTGCCAGATAAACACAACTAATGAAAACTGTTTAGAGCGTTAAACCTGACGTTTCCGTTCCGCCCGTAAGAAGCTTCTAAGTAAACCGCAAATTTTTATTGCAGAATGACATTTTCTAAAGTAATTTTTCTTAACTCTTTATGGCACAGATTTTATATTGAATATATTTTTCTCAAACCTCTTGTATATTGGGATTATTTCATCATAAAATAATTAAAAAACATAATTTCGATTTTTAAAAATATTTCCTTCTGTCTAAGAAAAGAAAATTTATGAAACATCACCTTTCCTTCACACAGACCAGGTGTCTAATACAGTGGCGGTCATATACTTACGTACAAGTCAAATATTAATTTTCAAATGGTACACAGCTTTCTGTGAAACATGCAAAAATATCTAAAATATGTTTTTAGAGTCTTTGAACCTTTTGTTATAAAGTGTCAGTAAAGTTTTTTTCATTCCCAGAATTCAAGGTGATTTATGTTTACTTTCTTGTAAGCTACTACTTTTAGGACGGACAATTACTTACGTACACTGTGATAGTAACGGCGTAAGTCGAAATATCAACGGTGTAAACAACTTTCGTCAGTGTCTGTCGAACTGTTGAATTAGTAAATACTGTAAGTGATTACCAGATCAACTACGTCAAGTAGAATCTCTTCGTAAAGCTGGGGTCCGTTCCAAAAACTACTGTTAAACATAAAATATTTACAAATTTGTTGAATTCTATAAATAAATAAAAAATTTAGTAGTATGTAATAAAAGAAGGTTCAAATTTTATAGAAACGTGCTTTCCATATTTTCATGAACTTTCCAACAGAATGCAGGAAGTTTAAAAGTTAAAATACAATTTGTACGTAAGTACAATGTAGCGCACATACAATCGGTTCTCTGTTTTATCGGTGACGATCGATTGCACCGGTTAAAAATCACGCCCGTTCCGTTCTGGTCGCCAAACGAGGGAGCAAAATAAAAAAAGAGAAGATGCTCGAAAAAAAAAGAGGAGAGGCGCGCCAACAGAGAAGCCTGGACTCGTTCGATAAAGAAACTAATG